GGCTTGATTCGCCACAAATTTGAAAACTTTACAAAATTGACGTGAGTGCTTGGTTTAAACACAATCCTCGTCGCCAAAATGTGGTATTTTCCCACTAGTTTACAAATCAACACATTGTGAGACAACTTGGTTCTCTGACTGCTTTATTCCTTCTCTGGCATCATGGGTAATGCAATGACGTATGAATATATTACACTTTCCATTTATAATTTTTTATCTACAATTTATTTGTAGTCATTCTCAAGGACTTTAACAAAATGCAGACAGTTAAAAATCCTTTATTTGTGGAGGTCTGCAAACTCCCTCTGAAGTTAGCATTTCTGATCTGCTTGTGATATAATGACACAGTGCTCAATACGCCTGCGAAGAAAGTTCTTGATAATGAATTAAATAATACAGGCAACAAATTCCACTAAATACTGCAGTACCAAGAAAGTGAAAGAGTACTTTGTACAAACAAACTCTGCAAAGAATTGAACAATGAAAAAAATAAACAAAATACACTCCTGTGAAAAAATTCATGTGCCATGCATGTTTTAGGAAAATAATCACACTGTCATTTTAACTCTATTTTAAGTCACCTAAAAAGAAAGAGCCAACTTTATCAAATAAGCTTGCAAAAGCTGTTGCTACATCAAAACCTCCAGTTTCTGAAACAGCATCTCCAAGTAAGAAAGATGTTGGTCCAAGAAAGATCCCCAGTCCGACAAAACCAGGTAATAAAATGCTAAGGATAGGATTTAGTAGAAATATTGTGTACTATGTGATATATTAATATACMTGTATCCTGTTCAACATAGGGAAAACAGTCGTACAATAGTCAATGTGTAGACAGGCTCATTTTGAGAGCAAAGCATGTTGGGAACTGCAACTCTTTTAATTATTTGTCAAGGGCAGATCCAGGGGGTAACTAGGTGTGGAGCCACTCCCATTTTATTCTAAAATATAGTTAAATAGAATTTTTGTCAAATGGGAGTCATTCTGAATAACAACTAAAATGCAGTTCATCTAAAAAAGATAACATTTTACTGTACCTTCAGCCTTGAATCTATTCATTTCAGTTAAAAAATCTTGAGTAAGACACCCCTTTGTAATGTTCTAAATTAACCAATGTTATGTCAATCGTGCGTTTTGGCAAGGTGCATCATGGTATTGATAAGAGTATCAAGATGATAGAGGACAAATTTTGTATGCAAAGTTTAAAGGTTTTTGAGAATACTTTGGTCTTGAGCATTAAATAAATGAATACATGTATAATGTGTACCTACACTTATTTTGTATGATAAAGACCTGAGTAAAGTAAAGTAAAGTAAAAGTATTTTTT